TCCCCACAAGTGCCCTCCTCTGTGCCCATCTCCTCCCTCCCCCTCTAAGCAACTTTCAAATACGTAATACAGTATTATTAACTACAGTCACCATTTTGTACATTACATCCCAACTTACTAATTGTGTAACTGGAAGCTTGTTCCTTTCGGCCCCCTTCACCTGTTTTGTCCACCCCCATCCCCTACCTCTGGCAACCAATCTCTTCTCTATATCTGTAAGCCCAAGGAGATTCTTTTGGTTGTTGCTTAGATTCCACATATAAGTGTGATAATATGGTATTTATCTTTAACTTACTTCACTTAGCATAATGCACTTGAGGCCCATTCATGTTACTGTAAATGCCAGATTTCCTTTTTATAGCTGAATATTACATTGTGTTTATGTATAGGTAAACATCATGGGTGTGTGTGTACATACATACATTTATCAACTCATCCATTGATGGGCACTTATCACATGTGTTTCTGCATGCTGTTTTGTCCCATTGATTTGTATCCCTCTGCCAACAGAACACTGTCTTAATTAGTGTAAGTTTGTAAAGATGTTTGGAAATGGATAGGGCCCAAGTCCAATGTCAATACCATGAGCTTCAAGACCAGGGCAGTTTCTCCCTTCTTATCCTTGGGCTTAGTAGGTAGGTACTTGATGATCATTTTTTAAGCAAATAAATGAAGCTGAAAGAAGTTAGAAAGTCCAAAGGAAAAAGCAGACAAGAGGGGATATGCCCTCCCCTCTCCAGAGAAAAGTCCCAGGAATGCTAAGTCTGATCTTGTAGGAGTATAAGTCAGAGCACTCAAATCAGAGTGGGAGGAAGCAGAGTTTAAAGCTAGACCCCTCTTCTAAACCTCCCAAAATACAGAAAATGACAGAAGGCTTTTGGAACCAAGAGCTAGAAGAGCCTGGAAGCAAAAGCTGAAGCTGTCAGCTTCCCAGCAGTTCACACCCTGAGACAATCCTCCCACCTCCAACCCCCGGAGCTGCCAAAAGCCCTAGGCAGAGAAACAGGCGTCCCAAGATGGCCCCAGCCTCAGCAGCACGGTGCAGCACTGGGGAAGTGACAGTGATTGGGGGAAATAAACACTATTATAGCAGAGATATTTTAAAACTCCGCCCTCGAGGCAGCATCCAGTTGCTATGGCAACCCTAGCTCTGCTGGGAGTCCTGATTACCATCTTGCTCAATGCACCTGCCTCTGGCAGCCTAGAGGTGTCCTCAGGAGGCCGGGAGCTGCTGCCACCAAGAGGAACACCAAGGAAATGCCTCTATGTTCTGGCTCCAAGGTAATGACTGAAGAGACCCAAGGTGATTCTCTGTTCAATGTGAACCCTTGATGGTATAGTTTTGTTCCAGGTTAATACTTTTTATTAAAAATACTTGGGGTGCCTGTGTGGCTTCGTAGGTTGACTGTCCAACTCTTGATTCATCTCAGGTCATGACCTCACGGTTTGTGTGTGTGAACACTGCATTGGGCTCAGCACTGACAGTGCGGAGCCTGCTTAGGATTCTTTCTCTCTCCTTTCCCCCCGCCCCTTCCTCTCCCCTCGCTCTCTCAAAATAAATAAACATAAAAAAAAAAATACTAGCTTACTTGATGTTCAAATTGACTTACAAAGTCTTTTTTGTTTTGTATTCACCTGGCTCTATCAAAACACAGAAAAGTAACATTTTCATTCAATTTGGGACTGAGCAAATGAAGCAGTTGGTTTTGAGTTTTGGTTCCGTAGTTGAGACAAAGCCCCTAAGGGACAAGATTGGCACTGGAGCTGAGTGGCTGGCCCTGTCCTCTGACACAGATTTGCATAAATACCATTGCATACACTTGCTCTTTGGCACCCAATCTGGAATGGCTTGTGAGATCTTCAGGAAACCCAAACAAGTAAGAGAGAAAAATGACCACAGAGCCAGAATGATAGGCAGCCAAAGGGAAAGAGCCAGAGGTAGACAGGCACAGAGATGCTGTCATTCTCTCATTTCAATGTGGAGCAAAGGAGTCTTGACTCTGGCAAGATTCCTCCCCACATAGCCATACTTGCCTTTATTTTCCAACTCATTTCTGCACTCACCTGTCATACCATTTGGCAAGCTTGACCTATTTGGCCCAAGGAGAGCTCACATGGGCTGTACACACAACACCAACTGCACCAGGATACGAATCAATGCTTGGAGAAGGACAGCGGTCTGGGGCTGGCTAAGGATGGAAGAGTCTTTGGTACGTGTCTCGGGGAGAACACTGGGCTCAGTCAGGAGACTGGACTGCAGACCCAGCCTCTCCATTTGCTAAGTGACTGGACACATCATCAGTGAAAGGTAAGCTCCAGCAGAACAGGTATTGTTCCCAATGACTGACCATTGCTATGGCACCTAGAATGGTGTTTGTCACCTAGCCCATCTTAAATAAATATGTTTCTGAAATCAAAGAATAGTGCCTTGGTGCCTTCCTTTGTAAAAACGGGGTAAGGATTCTCTCTTCCTTAGGGGCTTTAGGAGGCTCTAACAAAGTAGGATGAACAATGTTGAACTTACAATGCTTTGGAAAAGTTTAAGTGACATGCAAATGTCACCTAGCAAGATTGCCAGCCAACCCAGCAGCTCAGATGGCTGCTAGACAAGGTGCTTCCAAGGCCAGGGCTTTACCCACTTCCTCGGAGCACTTGAAGAAATATAGTTAAATGCTGTGGGTCCCAGACGCTTGAGTTGTACTGCTAGTTGCCTATTCAACATCCATTCTACTGGTCTTCCTGACAGGCCTGGATTTCATTTGAGCACCAGTGTGCCCTGTCCCTGCCTCCTTATAGCTACCAGAGCCCGTGTGATCACCTGTAGTCAACCAGACAGAACCGAAGTCCTAAAGTAGAACATCTGGAAAAGTTCTTTTAAAGGAATCGAGCTCCACTTGCTTTGTCTTCACCTTTTTCTCCATCTTCCTTGGAAGGTGGATGAGAGGCCTATAGGTATAATCTTGCAATCTTGCAATCTCATCTCACAACTGGACAAATCTACACGCTAAGGATGGTAAGCCAAGCACCTGAGTGCTTGATGACACCCTTGAGCTTCTTCCTCAGCCTGAAATGCCTACTCTGAACCTATTACTTAGAAAAATAACCACCTATTTGTTCAAGCCACTGTAGTCAGATTTCTGTAACAAGCAGCTGAAAATCCTAAATGATACAGTACTGTACTTAAAATAGCTCATTTATGACATACACATTGCCAATGCCAATTTTACAGATGAGAAAATGGAAGCTTGGAGAAGTGAAGAAAATTGCCCAAGGCCATATAGTCAGTGAGCGACAGCTAGAATTTGATTCCAGGTCTGTCTGACTCCAAGACCCTTATTCTTTTCACTTTTGCCATAATCCCCAAATAAGAAGAAAGAAAAGTAAGCCATGTCTGGGGGTGCCTGGGTGGCTCAGTCAGTTAAATGTCTGATTCTTGATTTCAGCTCAGGTCATGACCTCACATTTGTGAGTCTGAGCCCCACAACCGGCTCTGTGCTGACAGTGCGGAGCCTGCTTGGGATTCTCTCTCTGCCCTTCCACCACTTGTATGTGCATCTACACTGTCTCTCAAAATAAATCAATAAACTTTAAAAAAAAAAAAAAGGGAAGTAAATATAGGTCACGAGTGATAAGGACTCTGGAAAAAACTAAGCAAGTACGAATGCTATTTGTTACCAGAAGTTGGGAGTTTCCTTGGGAGGACATACCCACCAGACACGGAAGAAACGATGACGGGAAATGAAAGGGATGCAGTGAGCCATGTGGACAGGGGAAGCAGGGCAGAGGGAACCACAGCGCAGAGGCCCCGGGGGCAGGGGTGGGTATGGTGGACGGCAAAGGAGCCAGCAGGGCTGTACAACAGGAAGGGGAAAGAAAAGGATGTAGAGGCATTTGTGCTGCAGTAAAGACTGGGCACTTTTGCTCTGAGTGAGACGAAAAGTCACGGAGGGTTTTGATCTGAGAAGAGGTCAAACTTAGGATTTCGTTTCTGGGCTGCTGAGTGGAAAACAGCGGGGAGGGAGGAGAGGAGGCAGGGAGGCCAGACTGGAGACTGCCGCAACAACGCAGGCCAGAGGAGCCAGCGCTCTGGGCAGGGTGGCACTGAAGGCTGGGAAGCACTCACACTCTGGGCACATTCTAAAGGCAAAGCTGCAGGATGTGCTGACGGACCGGCCATAGGAGATGAGAGAGAAGGCAAAGATGAGTCTGAGTCTTCAGCCTGCTGTCTTCAGTGCTGTGTCTTGGGCGGGGGCTGCTCAGCGTGCTAGGAGTAAGGTCAGACTGCATTGAGCTTTGGACACAGCCAAGCTCTGATACTTCTGGAGTGAGCACAGCTCATCACTCCCTCCTTTGTGAAACGTGTTCACTCAGCTTCCCAGATACCCACTCGTGCACTCGTGACTCCCCTACTATTTCACTGGCCACTCCTTCTCAATCTCCTATGTTCCCTCCCCTCTGAATGACTACCAGGCAACCGAACAAAAGGGTCAGGGAGTCAGTCAGACACAGCAAGGTAATTTTGAGAAGAGGAGAGGGAGTGATCAGCTTTGTGTCACATGCAAATGACTGCTGAAGTAACACAGGGCAAGAAATGACAGGGTATTTGGCAAACACAGGGTCACAAGTGACACAGACCATGGAAAGTGAAACTGGATTGCTCCTAGAGGGAGGAATATAAGAAACACATTCTTTCAAGGATCACACAGGAAAAGCTCCTTCTTTCAGAACAAACCATAAGCAAGATCCTTTCTTTTCCATATCAAAGAAGTTGCCAAGTATACATCAAAGCCTGGGCATAACTGGTTCCTAGACAGACTAAGGCTTTGCAGGCCGGGAATGGCTTGGTGATGGGAGGGAGAACAGAGGTAGGAAAGGAGAGACATCAGCACCTTATGGGAGCGAAATGGCACCAATCTCTGCTTCAAGGTCACCCACATTGCTCACCCACTATTCTTCCCCCACAGGACTTTCTAATACATTCCAAGAAGCACTTCACAATAGACAGCATAATGAATATTTATTATGATTATTTCAATTAAAAAAAATTAGCCCAAAAATCTCTGGGCAATAAGCTAAAAATACAGTAAAAAGCAGTATCTTAGTGTTAGCAACATACCTTGCTGGCACGCAGTGGTGCCTTCAATGCAGGCAAGGCTCTGCAGAAATTTCCACATTACTTCCTACCACTTCCCCCTTTTTCAGAAGTCCCTACTGAAATGAGAGACGAAACTGAGGCACAGAGGTAAAGGGACTAGCCTGAGGTCAGAATGCCAGGAGAATCAGGAAGGAACTGAGTCCAGAAAATCCTGTACATTTTGTTGTACCCAAAATGCTACCCAGATACAATTCTGTAGCTATTGCCTAGCAGGAGAAAAAGCTAGGGTCTTCTTCCAAGTGACCAGTTAATAACACCCTGTGGGGCAGCGGAAGTGTCACAGGAAGCAGCCCTGACTTGATGCCCAGTGATCCAGGCCAGAAGCTAGTCAAGAGGACTCCCTTAAAGCTCCAGGGCCCCTCCTGCCCCCTTGCCTCCAAAGCACAGCCCTCACTACAAAACCCAACCCTCCTTGTGGAAAACTAGCTGCACGGCCTCGTTCACATCGTTCACAACATGGGACGCCTCCATGAGCCCCGGGCTGAAGCTGAAGTCCCGGTGCCCGTGGAACGGAGCCTCCTCTGTTCCCTGGGCAGGCTGGGAGGGATCCGCGCCCTTGGGATTGTACACGCCCGTGCACACCAGGATAGAGGCGCAGCTCTGAGTTGCTGAGGGTCGCTGCTTCCACAAGCCACTGGCCCCCTGCTCTTCCGGCCCATCATGCTTCGCCATCTGCAGGTACTTGTGGAACAGGTTGGCACCGTAGACATCAGACATAGGATTATCACTGGCAGGGGCAGCCATACCGGAAAAGGAAAGAGGAAAAAAAAACACCGTTCACTGTTACAAGGCAAAGACAGGAGAGGGCAGCTGTGGGACGAGTGTGCATTAGATACAGGGAAACAAGGGTGTGGGCACCTAAGGAAGGAAGGGCAGGGGCAGTCTTGAAAGGGATGAGGAGGGGCGCCTGGGTGGCTTAGTCGGTTAAGCGTCCGACTTTCGCTTAGGTCATGATCTCGCGGTTCGTGGGTTCGAGCCCTGCATCGGGCTCTGTGCTGACTGCCAGCTCAGAGCCTGGAGCCTATTTCAGAGTCTGTGTCTCCCTCTCTCTCTGACCCTCCTCTGCTCACGCTGTCTCTCTCTCCCTCCTAGAAATAAATAAAAAATATAAANAACAACTCAGGAGACTATAGATGCTGGCGAGGATGTGGAGAAATGGGAACCCTCTTGCACTGTTGGTGAGAATGCAAACTGGTACAGCCATTTTGGAAAAGTGTGGAGGTTCCTCAAAAAATTAAAAATAGAATTCCCTATGACCCAGCAATAGCACTGCTAGGAATTAATCCAAAGGATACAAGAGTGCTGATTCACAGAGGCATATATTACCCCAATGTTTATAGCAGTGCTTTTAACAATAGTCAAAATATGGAAAGAGCCCAAATGTCTATCAACCGATGAACGGATAAAGAAGATATGGTAAGGGGCGCCTGGGTGGCTCAGTTGGTTGGGCGGCCTACTTAGGCTCAGGTCATGATCTTGCAGTTTGTAAGTTCAAGCCCCAAGTCAGGTTCTGTGCTGATAGCTCAGAGCCTGAAGCCTGCTTTGGATTCTGTGTCTCCCTCTCTCTGCCCTCCTCTGCTCACGCTCTGTCTCTGTGTCTCTCAAAAATAAATAAATGTTAAAAAAAAAAAAAAAAAAAAAAAAAAAAAAAAAGAAAGGGATGAGGAGCTGGAGCAGCACGTACCCAATAGCATAGAGTTTGCGGATGGGGGCCTCCCAGCCCCGCCTCTCCGCCTGCTGCCTGATCAGGTCCTCTGCATACTGGTAGGTGAGGACGCTGGGTTTGCCCATCAGGCCCTCGTATCGCAGCTCTTTGCCCGTCATTTTCCGGTAAATGGTTTCCAGGCACAGCAGAAAGGTGCCATGGCCAAACCTGTCAAGAGAAGAGAACTCAGCAGCTCTGGCCTCCCCTCACGGGCTCTGGGCAGGACCCTATACACCGACCTTTCACTGCAGTGCCCTGCTGGTGACAGGTCCAAGTGAACTTTCTTCTAGTAAGAATGACATTACCTATTTTTATGACCTCGTGTTACCTGCTAACATTTGCTAAGCACTAGAGATAGCATATCACACTTACCTCTCAGAATAACCACAGGATCATTCAGTGAGGAGACTGAGGCACAGAGATTAAGTAATTTGCCCAACATGGCAGAGCTAGGATTACAACCCAGACAGTCAAGACTCCACAAACCGAAGTTTAAATTCAGCTTTAAATTTGCGGCAGACTACTGGTGGCCACCCTCCCCTTCTTTCTCAGTGTCAGTTTGCAGCTCACCATAGTGCAACCAGGTGTAAAAAGTATTCCCTTGATTCCACTGCAGCGAAGTGAGCAGCCATGTGAATAAGCTGCAGGCAAAGAGTCAACGAAATCAGAAGTGCTGGGCCAAACTCCTAGGAAGTATAAAACTGGGGACAGGGCACTCTGTTTCACTCTTCCTCACTCCTTCCTGCTGCGTGCTGGAATTCAGGCAGCCATTTTGGGTTATGCTGTGAAGAGCCAATGACTGCACAGCAGGAAGACAGAGGGAGTCTATGTCCCAGATAGGTGGGACTTCCACACAAGCCCTGGACTGCCTGCCCCATACTTCTTTTACGTGAGAAAGAAAAAAATTCTATCTTGTTTAAGACAGTTTTGTTTTGAGTTTTCATCCCTGGCTGCTAAACCAAATCCTAACAGATACTGTCCAACATATTAAAGTTGTATTTCACAAATCAAAACCACACTGAGATAACTACCTCACACCAGTCACAGTGGCTAGAATTAACAACTCAGGAGACTATAGATGCTGGCGAGGATGTGGAGAAATGGGAACCCTCTTGCACTGTTGGTGAGAATGCAAACTGGTACAGCCATTTTGGAAAAGTGTGGAGGTTCCTCAAAAAATTAAAAATAGAATTCCCTATGACCCAGCAATAGCACTGCTAGGAATTAATCCAAAGGATACAAGAGTGCTGATTCACAGAGGCATATATTACCCCAATGTTTATAGCAGTGCTTTTAACAATAGTCAAAATATGGAAAGAGCCCAAATGTCTATCAACCGATGAACGGATAAAGAAGATATGGTAAGGGGCGCCTGGGTGGCTCAGTTGGTTGGGCGGCCTACTTAGGCTCAGGTCATGATCTTGCAGTTTGTAAGTTCAAGCCCCAAGTCAGGTTCTGTGCTGATAGCTCAGAGCCTGAAGCCTGCTTTGGATTCTGTGTCTCCCTCTCTCTGCCCTCCTCTGCTCACGCTCTGTCTCTGTGTCTCTCAAAAATAAATAAATGTTATAAAAAAAAAAAAAAAAAAAAAAAAAAAAAAAAAAAAAAAAAAAAAAAAAAAAAAAAAAAAAAAAGATGTGGTATATCCATACAATGCAATACTACTTGGCAATAAGAATGAAATTTTGCCATTTGCAACGTGGATGGAACTGGAGGGTATTATGCTAAGTGAAATAAGTCAGTCAGAGAAAGACAGATATCATATGTTTTCGTTCATATGTGGAACTTGAGAAAGTTAACAGAAGACCATGGGGGAAGGGAAGGGAAAAAAAGTTACAAAGAGGGAGGCAAACCATAAGAGACTCTTAAATACAGAGAACAAACTGAGGGTTGATGGGGGCTGGGAAAATGGATGATGGGCACTTGTTGGGATGATCACTGGGTATTATATTTAAGCAATGAACTATGGGAATCTACCCCCAAAACCAAGAGTACACTGTACACACTGTATATTAGCTAATTTGACAATAAATTATATTTAAAAAAAGGAAATTTAAAAAAGGCACCCCCAAAATTTAAAAATAATAATTTAAAAACAAATAAATAAGGTTGTATTTCAGTGTCGTGTCACTTATTTATGTGACAAATTGTATTTTTGATTTTTAAATTACTGAGTGAAAATTAATCTCGGGGTGCCTGGGTGGCTCAGTTGGTTAAGTATCGGATTCTTGGTTTCAGCTCAGGTCATGCATGATCTCAGAGTTTACGAGTTCAAGCCCTACGTCAGGCTCTGTACCGACAGTGCAGAACCTGCTTAGGAGTCTCTCTCTTCCTTTCTCTCTGCCCCTTCCTTGCACATGCTCTCTCTCTCAATAAATAAGTAAAAACACCTATTAAAAAAGAAAAAAAAAGAAAATTAATCTCAAATCTGGTTTATAAGTTGAAATTTGCCCCTTGCTATTCAGTTCCAGCCTACATAACCAAACCCCTCTTACCTAGTGTCAACAAACACTAATGATAGGAATACTTCAGAGAAAATATCTAACCTCAGCCTGCAGAAATATACCTTTTTAAAAATGTTTATTTATCACCCTCCTACACTGTTGGTGGGAATGTAAACTGGTGCAGCCCCTTTGGAAAACAGTGTGGAGGTTCCTCAAAAAATTAACAATTGAACTCTCCTAGGACCCAGCAATAGCACTGCTAGGAATTTACCCAAGGGATACAGGAGTGCTGATGCATAGGGGTACATGTACCCCAATGTTCATAGCAGCACTCTCAACAATAGCCAAAACATGGAAAGAGTCTAAGTGTCCATCAACAGATGAATGGATCAAGAAGATGTGGTTTATCTATACGATGGAATACTACATGGCAATGAGAAACAATGAAATCTGGCCATGTGTAGCAACATGAATGGACCTTGAGGGTGTTATACTGAGTGAAATAAGTCAGGCAGAGAAGGACAGATACCATGTCTGCACGTATAGGAGGATTAGGAGGAACTTAATGGAGGACCGCAGGGGAGAAGAAGGAGGGAAACAGTGGGGGAGGGGGAGAGAGGCAAACTATGAGAGACTCTTGAAAGCTGAGAAAAAACTGAGGACTGATGGGTGTGGGGGGGAGGGGGGAGATGGGCATGGAGGAGGGCACTTGTGGGGATGAGCACTGGCTGTTATACGGAAACCAACTTGACAATAAACTATTTGTAAAAAAATAAATAAATAAATACAATGAAAAAAATTAAAATGTTTATTTTGAGAAAGAAAGAGAAAGCACAAGTGGGGGAGGGCAGAGAGAGAGAGAGAGAGAGGGAGAGAGAGAGAATCCTAAGCAGGTTCCACACTCAGCTGAGAGCCCCGATGCAGGGCTCAATCTCATACTGTGAGATCATGACATGAGACTAAATCAAGAGTCAGATACTTAACTGGTTGAGCCACCCAAGTGCCCCTGCAAAAATATATCTTTTAAAGTAACAAGGAAACACCGTAATACCCATTTGGAGTTAGTGAGTGGTATGACTTCAGTCGCATTAAGTGTTGGGCCTGCTGCCCTCTGTTGATGGATCACTCACAGAGCGTGCTGGGAATCAGTAGCAGGGAGAGAAAACTCTAGACTTTGGGCCTGCAGATAGAAGCAGCCATAGAGTATACAGGAGCCATAGCTGTCCTTCCAGGAAGGCCCTCAAGGGTTAGAAAGAGGGCTGCCTAGACTGTGCTTAGCCTCCAAAAAGGACAGGTCCATAAGGTTCAAAGAGCAGAGCAGGGAGCGTGGGCCTGCTCAGTATCAATGTGCCTTTGAGAAAGTCACTCAACCACTGGGTCTCAGTTTTCTGGCCTAAATAACACCAGAATAATTACTGCATCCTCTGCCTTACATCTTAAGGGCAGGAGAAAACAACGAAAGAACTCGTGCTACAGGGACAGGGCAAGGAGCAACTGCACTGCTAGGCCTCCGAAGTCATCCATCATTTGGGTTCCACAGGCAAAAATTACATACTCTGGGGGTGCCCAGCTGGCTCAGTCGGTGGAGCACACAACTCTTGATCCAGGGGTCATGAGTTTAATCCTCACGTTGGAGACAGAGATTACTTTAAAAAAAACCTTAAAAAAGGGGCATTTGGGTTGCTCAGTTGGTTAAGTATCGGACTCTTGATTTCGGCTCAGGTCATGATCTCACAGTTTGTGAGTTCAAGCCCCACATGAGGCTCTGGGCTGACAGTGCGGAGCCTGCTTGGGATTCTCCCTCCCTCTCTGCCTCTCTCTCTCTCTCTGAAAATAAAATATATAAACTTAAAAAAAAAACAAAACAAAACAAAAAAAAACATGTTCTGTTAAGATTCTGGAGGGCAAAGGCCATGCATTAAAGATCATCTCAACATGGGGCGCCTGGGTGGCTTAGTCGGTTAAGCGTCCGACTTTCGCTTAGGTCATGATCTCGCGGTTCGTGGGTTCGAGCCCCGCGCCGGGCTCTGTGCTGACTGCCAGCTCAGAGCCTGGAGCCTGTTTCAGTCTGTGGCTCCCTCTCTCTCTGACCCTCCCCTGCTCACGCTTGCTCTCTCTCTCCTAGAAATAAATAAATTAAAAAAAAATTAAAAAAAAAAAAAAAAAGATCATCTCAACATATCTTCAGTGCTCAGTAAGCTATACTTCTCATTTAATAATTAGAAGTGACCCCTTGAAAATCCTCCCAGAAGATCAAGTTTCTGTGGCAAATACAAGGTCTACTCAGGCAGGGGTCTGACCGCCCAGAGTACCAGAATGATGGTAGAAAGCTGTCAGCAGGACCTCCCAGGCAACAGCTGGCAGTGGACACCACAGCCAAGCTCAGACACTGTGTCCTCACCTGGGCATCCTGGCTTCAGCCATCCAAAGGAGATCCATGTTGCTGGCCAGGACAGGAAGATGGGGATAGGGGGCTGTCGCCAGACCAGTCCCAGGGTTCCCATTGCTGAGAAGGACATCCATGATGAGCTGCAGGCTTGTCTCCCAGCGGACAGGCTCTCCAAGGAGGAGTATCCCTTCAAAGAGTAAAGGCATGGAGGTGAGGGTTGCAGGGCACTCTGAGGGTACTCCCTCTCCTGAGGGAGGCCAGCTGATGCCAGCTGGCACCACCCAACCACAAGCTCTTCCTCCATAGTACACACCCCTGCAAGGGCATAGTTCCCAGTGCCAGCCTTCAAAGAGCCACTCACCCATTCATCCAAGGTGAACAAAGCCCATGATCCAAGAAGGACTCTCATTTTCACTTGTATTCGCAGAAGAGGTGAAAACAAAGAAAACCAGCAGCCAAGTCTCAGGTCTACTTCCTCCTGTTGACTAATACTCCCTTGACCACCTTACTCACAAGTACATGGCAAAGGACTCACCTTCCTCAGCCGCTTCTCTCTGAGCCCCAGAGGCCTGTAAACCCAACAGCTAGGAGAGGGGGATCCAGAGTGACACAGACCACATTCCAAATCCCTGTCAATTTTCCTCTGTGACTGTGGGCAAGTTATTTACCTTCTTTAAGCCTTGACTTTCCCAACTATATAATAACAATACCTATTATTGTTTAGGATAAAAATGATATAATAATAAAGCACTTAACCCATGCTGGACACACAGCACTCAGCAAATGGTAGCTGCCAATATCAGCTACAAGGCCAGTGACTGAACAAAACCAGTGATCTCAATGGGGGAGTACTGCCTCCTAGGGAGGTGTTCTAGAAACTGGAGGGTGTATTTTATTTATTTATTATGTTTATTTATTATTTTCGAGAGAAAGACAGAGCGTGAGCAGGAGAGGGGCAGAGAGAGAGGGAGACACAGATTCCAAAGCAGGCTCCAGGCTCTGAGCTGTCAGCACAGAGCCTGACGCAGAGCTTGAACCCATGAACTGTGAGATCATGACCTAAGCAGAAGTCAGTTTCTTAAGTAAGTCACCCAGGCACCCCTGGAGGGTGTATTTCAATTGTCATGATCATGGCAAGGGATCATGGAAGCGGGCCAGGAATGCTAGATTCTGTCTCCCTCCTTCTCTCTCTGCCCCTCCCTGACTCATGCACGCTCTCTCTCTCTCAAAATAAACTAAAAAACAAAAAACCAATTAGGACTTTATATTGAACTAGTTAATTTTTAATATACAGTATGTATTCAGCTAATATACAGTATCAGTGAAGTTCCCTGCAGGGTAGTAAAGAGGACATTACGATATTTTTGTTACACAAGGGAGAACTGGGTTTAATGGAGCTGTGAAACACTGGTTTAGATAACCTCTGGGGGCCCTTCCACGCTAAGATTTTCTACACTTAACAATTTTTCCGAAATAATAAGGCAGGTGATATGGGGAAAGAAAGATTAAAAACAAATGCCTCAGAGGTAGTGAGTGGCAGATCTGAGACTAGAACACAGATGACCTGATGTCCAACACCCCCAGGCACCCTACTGGTGTGTAGGCACACAGCCGCACGAGGACAGCCTGGAGGGCCAAAAGGAGAAGCACCCAGAGCCATGCCTATCCCAGCACAGGACCTCGTTACCTTCAATGGCAGGGAAGTCGTTCCTTAGAAGGGGCTGCCAAGAGACAAAGAATAGGCCCATCAATGCCACAGTCACAGTCCACTACCAGGCAACCACACAACCAGTTTCAGGGAGTAGCCGGAGGAAAGACACACTTTAGACAGATCAAAGACCGTCTCCATGGCCTAGTCCAAGCCAAAGAGAAGCCAGATAGGACTGAGGAACAAAATTTACAAAGAAAAGTAAACAGAGAAGGAGCAGGGCTACCACAGAACAGGCTGAGGGAGCTAGTCAGCTCTCCTTCTCCAGTGAGGACAGGCGGTAAGTTATAGGCCAAGCAAGAGTCTAGAATCAGGTAGCTAAGATGACAGTAAGCCTATGGAGAAAAGGGAGGCCATTAGGGCATGATGGACCATTTCTCTTGATATGAGATGGGGAGGTAGGAGTCTTCACTTTACCAATCTCCTGGGGTCCGTTCCTTCCCTAGACCATCAGTCCTGGCTCTACTACTAACCAGCTATGTGACCTGGGGCAGGTCCCTTCTTCCATGTAGGGCTCAGTCTGTGAGCTGCTCTAAGATCTGTTCCAACTCTGACATTCTAGTTCTCCATATAATTTGCAGGGTCCTAGGAGAAAGCTTTCAAAGGCAATGAAGTGCTCTATTCAATCAGAAAGTCCTAGAGAAAGGACTAAGGCTACATAAACAAAAGTTAAGCTTGTCTGTTTATAACTGCATTTCTCCACATTTTGACAGTGGGTTGACTTAAACTGCAGGCCATATGACACAGTGTTCACATGAGTAACACGGGGCCAAAGGCCATCAAGGGCCAGGCAGTCATACTCTAAAAGATCAATGAGAGGCTCCGTGACTAGCGATCAGAGAGATAAGAAGTCACGCCAGTGGTTCAAATAGGAGCCAAATCCAAAAGGAACATGGGCATACTCAGAATTGCCAGTTACTTTTACTAGCAAGCTGTCTCTCATAAGGACAACTCTCCATAGCAAGCTTCCGGATAAAGTAGCAGCAATGATGAATTTCACAAAGGTTAATGATTCTCCCAAGCAACACTCAGAAAGCCAGCTGGTAAAATATAAAACTCCTCACTGGAGATGCTAGGGCTTTGAAAGGGGTTCTCAGCTAAGTACAAACAATGCAGAAAGGAAAGCCCTTAGGAGTCTGTTGCTCCTCTGGGCCATCCTTGTGAATCTGGGGAACAAAAGGTGGACAAGATGAAGCTCTTAGTGGGAGGGGTTGCAAGGCTGGTAAGAGGAACCCATGTGGGGAATAGAGGACAAAACTAAACACGAGACACCCAGGAGCATGCTCATTATTACCGTGGTCTTCGGCCGCCGCTGGAGATCCACCATGTCAAGCACAGGAAAGGCCATCCGCAGCTCGTCCACAGTAACCACATTCTCGAAGCCCAGTCTACAGCAAGATCAGGGAAGCAAAGCTGGACAGTTCTGGGAGATGCCCTTAGGGTGAGGGGAACCAACACAGTCCCAACCAAACTAGTCCATCCAATCCCCAGACAGGAGTAAACCAGTGAGAGGCCCAGACACAGCCCGGCAAAGCCGACAGCAGTCCTGGAGGACAGGCCGCGACAGCACAGGCAGAGCAGGGATGCACACCATCACAGCGACGCATCGGCGGTCACTGGGCACACTCGGTGCGGGTCCTATGCTGGGCACCTCCAGGGCACAAAAGCGTACAAGAATGTCTGGTCTTAAGCTCACCACGTGCCAGGGCCCATCTAAACCAGCCCTCCGTGAACAGTACTGCCACATTGTGTTGAGTTCCAAAGAGGAAACTCCTCAGTGGGCCGGTCGCCAGGCAGAGTCTAGGCATCAGACTCAAGCTAACTCTTGAGGAGGAGCCAGTTTTGGACAGCACGGGGAGGCCATGAGTGGAAAGCCAGTGCCAACCAACCTCGTCTCTCCTAGACCTGCCTCCATTTTCTTGTCCTCAAGTCCCTCTTAAAATCTTAACTGGGCATGGTTTCAGATTACTTTCAGAATGCATCTCCCGCAAATGCTTCCAACAGATCACCCTATTAGCGGCCACTCCTGCAATGACTCCCCCGCCCACATAAATAAGTAAGTTCGCTGGCCTCTTGCCCTTACTTCTGAGATTTCCTTTCCAAGACCCCACTCCTTCTGTTCTTATTCCCCACCCTGCTCCAACCCAATCTCTTGCTTCGGGGATCCGCATCTTCCCTGCTCTCTCCAGCCTCCTCAGCTCCTTCCCTGCACGGGAAACTGTAACCATGTCCTGTGGCACAGCCACATCCCTCCGTGAAGCCACCATTCACACTCCCAGGTGCTCCCTTCCCACCACTGGTGACTCTGAGAACCTGTACTATGCTCTTTAGTCTTCAATCCTAGGTCATCCCAAACACTCCTGCATCCTTTGTGGGTGTGCAACTCCTGCCTCCTCCATCATGAACCCTTTGAGGAACACACAGTCCCATGTGCTTCTCGTGGCCCCCTTCCCCTACAGAGCGCGCGGCACAGGGCTGGTACACAGCAAGTGCTCAACACAGGTTCGCAGAACAAGCAAATAAGGAAGCCACTTGAGAACAGGGAGCAAGTCTTCTGCCGCCTGACTGTGCACACACCCAAACAGTTCACTGTAGATAATATTAGTTGATAAGCTGACTGAGCACCCACCCCAGGGAATGGTGCTAGCGCAGGGGTTCCCAGCCCTAATTACAGCTTTCTCTTTCAACATACAGATTGCTGGTTTTTATCTCAGACCTAGTGAACCAAGAATCTGTGATTTTTTTTAAGTTTATTTATTTTTGAGAGAGAGAAAGAGAGAGCATGAGCAGGGGAGGGGCAGAGAGAGAGAGAGAGAGGGAGACACAGAATCTGAGAAGCAGGCTCCTCCCAGGCTCTGAGCTGTCAGCATAGAGACTGATGCAGGGCTCGACCCCACAAATTGTGAGATCATGATCTAAGCCGAAGTCAGATGCTTAACTGACTGAGCCACCCAGGCGCCCCAAGAATCTGTATTTTAAGCTCCCCAGCAGATTCCAATGCAGTGGGCTGGCTTTCGGAAACTACCGGGGACCAGGACTAGCCGTACCTGGAGCCATCGCCCCTCCCTCCAGAGCTTACCACATATCCCGTAAGCTCTGGCACCACGCAGCCAGCACACCTCACTACGGTCCCCCCTCAGCCATGGGAGGAAACCTCCAGTCCTGTTCCTTCCTCTTCAGCCAGAGCAAGAATCACCAAAAGGATACACTCGGGCATTTTCCACCAGGGGCCCCTGCCCAGACACCAGCATCCGCTTGTTGTGGTATTGGGAGAAGAGCTTCATGGGGCTGTGAGAGAGAATGACTTGGTCTGGCTCCACCTGTAGGGACAGCCAAAAGACAGAGGAAAGCAGAGGTGACACAACAGCTGAGGGAAAATAATGGGGAGACAGGTGGCTTTTTACTTAGAAAGGAAAAAAATCTGCCCAGAAAAAAAGCGGGGCAGCCTCTTCCGGCACCTGACACTTCTAGACACTACACAAGAGGTGTGAGAAGAACCTACTTTGGCTCTTGCCACAGAAAAGAAACAAGCAGGAAATGCCATCAGTCATGGGTTCTGACCACTCACCAAACCTGTTCTGCTCAGTTCCTCCAACTGGAGACCACAGGATTTATGTGCATGTTCTTTGTCATCATCACAGAAATCTGCCTCTGACTTTCTGTTTTCAGTTCTACTTAAAGCTTTAGTGGGGCGCCTGGGTGGTTCAGTCAGTTAAGCGTCCAACTTCAGCTCAGGTCACGATCTCATGGTTCATGGGTTCGAGCCCTGCATTGGGCTCTGTGCTGACTGCCAGCTCAGAGCCTGGAGCCTGCTTCGAATTCTGTGTCTCCCTCTCTCTCTGACCCTCCCCTGCTCACACTGTCTCTCTCTCTCTCTCTCTCAGAAATAAATTAAAAAAAAAAAACACAAAAAAACACACACAAAAAAAAAAAAAAAAAAAAAAAAAAAAAAAAAAAAAAAAAAAAAAAAAAAAAAAAAAAAAAAAAAGCTTTAGCTTCTTGGAGCAGCTAGGTGGCTCAGTCGGTTAAGCGTCCGACTTCGGCTCAGGTCATGATCTCGCGGTTCATGGGTTCAAGCCCCACATCAGGTTGTACTGGCAGCTCAGAGCCTGGAGCCTGTTTCAGATTCTGTGTCTCCCTCTCTCTCTGCCCCTACCCCGCTCGTGTTCTCTCGGTCTCAAAAATAAATAAATTATTTAAAAAATTAAAAAAAAAAAAAAAAGACTTAGCTTAACATTTATATAGTAAGAACTCCAACAACGCGGCCAATATTCACAATGTTTTTGGAACCTTCTCTGGAAGCCACAGAAGGGAACCAGTTGCACTCCTTTGCTCTATATTCAGCCCCAAGCAGTGTTACCCAGTCGATCCGGCACTTTATTTACTCTTTTGGTTCCAAAGGGCTGTTTCCAAAAACTAAATCCACCCTTAACAAAGGATGTGTCAACGTTGATATACCGTGTGGAGTTCCAAGTGGGCAAAGAAGGACTGCTTCTGGGGGACAGCGCTCACTCAGCTGTGTGCACCTTATTTATGAGAAACAAGTGCCACTTGCTATGCAGAGATTTAGTAAAAGGGGAACCCTTGCTTTCCAGGGGCTGACAGTCCAAAAGAGACAACCCTGGTGCCCAGAAAAGAAATGGATACAAAGACAGCAGACTGAAACTATCAAATCCATGGGCAGGATTTTTGTGCTCAATGTGAAATGATACATAAAAAATGCCCATGCTGATGAGCCTCTACTCACGAGTCTAAGCTTGAACTTCAAGTTATTTTCTAATACTGACCCACTGGCCATGCCCACAGGCTTCTCAACAGTATGCCCGAACCCAGGAAAGGCAGCTTAGTCACGTTGGAAGGGGGGGACTACATGGTCTTCGGGCTTCCATGTCTCCATCTGCCTCCTCACCTTGAACCCCAGCAGGGCTGAGAGCTCCTGAGCTTTGCTCTGTTGTAAGATGTTCCCGGCATTTGTGACAAAGACCACGGGCACCCGCAGCTGCCCACGAGAGTTCACCAGCCTACGGAATGCCTCCAGGGCAGCGGGGATCACTCTGTGACCCCGCACCAGCACTCCATCAATGTCCAACAGGAACCCAAAAGTGGGTGGGTTCTGCACAAAGGGAAGAAAATCACCACAGCATGAGTCAAGAGGCAAAGGGGAAGAAGGAAATGACTCTTACAAAGCAGTGCGCCACATTATCCCCAGGTTGCCTAAAGCTTTGAGCGGAAAATGAGGACATGAGATTTTTGATAAGGCAAATATATCTATAAAAACGAATTAGTCCCCTCTCATGTATTTTTAAGGATAGAACTATTTGGTTAAGACTACCTCCACATAATTAATATAAAAGAATTTTTTTTAATGGAAAATACAGAAATTCAAAAACATCCCAGCACTTTAACATGACCAATCTCATCTCTTCTTTGTCTCCCATCCAAGTACTAACCAGGTCCGCCCCTGCTTGGCTTCGGAGATCAGAGGAGATCAGGCACGGTCAGGGTGGTATGGTCAGAGACTCTTCTTTCAATTTTGCATCCTGTTCTTCTTGCTTGACATTCAAATACTTTTATCTGTTACAACAGCTTTCATAACCATCTTTACAATTTTGTTTTATTACAATGTACACAGAGTTTTTAAAAACTCAATTGCTACTGATGATATAAAAAATATTTTAAGTTTCCTGCCTCCTTCTTCCACTTAGTGTTGTTTCCTGTCTTGTGACTGACTTCGGCGCAAGTCATAATCTCACAATTCAGGAATTCAAGCCCCAAGCGGGCTTGTTGTTGTCAGTACAGAGCCTGCTTCAGGTCCTCTGTCTCCCTCTCTCAGCCCCTACCCCCTCTCAAAAATAAACATTTAAAAATAAAATAAAATCACCTTAAAAAAAAAAAGAGTGCAAACATTTTAATGATGTAACACCTAGTGACAAACTGTCTTCTAAAAACATGTATCAGGGGCACCTGGGTGGCTCAGCCAGTTAAGCATCCAACTTCAGCCCAGGTCATGATCTCTCACAGTTCATGACTTTGAGCCACACAATGGGCTCTGCACTGACAGCTTGAAGCCTAGAGCCTGCTTTAGATTCTCTGTCTCCTTCTCTCTCTCTCTGCCTCTTCCCTGCTTGTGCTCTCTCTCTCTCTTAAAAATAAATAAATATTAAAATAAAATAAAAATAGGGGCACCTGGGTGGCTCAGTCGGTTCAGCACCTGACTTCAGCTCAGATCAGGATCTCACAGTTCATGAGTTCAAGCCATGCTGTCAGGACAGAGCTTGCTTCATATCCTCTATGTCCCTCTTATTCTCCCCCTCCCCTGCTCATTTTCTTTCTCTCTCTCAAGATAAATAAACTTAAAAAAATTAAAAAATAAAAATATGTATTATTTTTTTAATGGCCACTGGTAATGTACTTTATGTTTGCCAATACTAATTTTCACATGTATCAAAGAGTTTAATTACCAAACATCCTGTTAATTTAAACGTTAAAAAAAAAATGGTATCTCTCAATATGTAATTCTTGGGACTTATAAAGTAGAATATTGTCCTTTTTAAGTTTATTTATTTTTTTTAGTAATCTCTACACCTAACCTGGGGCTCGAACTCACAACCCTGAGATAGAGTCACATGCTCTTCCTACTGAGTCAGTCAGGCACTCTGAACACTCTTTTTTTAAATAAATTCATTCCTTTGGGGCACCTGGGTGGCTCAGTCAGTTAAGCATCCGACTTGAGCTCAGGTCATGATCTCACGGTTCGTGGGTTAGAGCCCCACGTCAGGCTCTGTGCTGACAGCTAGCTCAAAGCCTAGAGCCTGTCTTTGGATTCTGTATCTCCCTCTCTCTCTGACACTCCCTTGCTTGCGCTGTCTCTCTCTGACTCTCAAAAATAAATTTAAAATATTAAAAAAAAATTTTTTTAATTCATTCCTTGGACACCTGGCTGGCTCAGTTGATAGAGCATGTGACTCTTGATGAGCTCAAGCACCAAACTGAAGAAAGAGATTACTTAAAAAAAAGTTTTTTATTGAGCCAAACAAGTCAGGCAGAGAAGGACAGATACCATATGTTTGCACATATAGGAGGATTAGGAGGAACTTAATGGAGGACCATGGGGGAGAAGGGGAAAAATAGTTGGGGAGAGGGAGGGAGGCAATCCATGAGAGCCTCTTGAATGCCGAGAACAAACTGAGGGCTGATGGGGGTGGGGGGGAGGGGAAGGGGGGGTGATGGGCATGGAGGAGGGCACTTGTTGGGATGAGCACTGGGTGTTATATGGAAACCAACTTGACAATAAACTATTTAAGAAAAAAAATTTTTTTAGGGGTGCTTGGGTGGCTCAGTCATTTAAATGTCCAACCCTTGATTCAGCTCAGGTCATGATCTGAGTCATGGGATCGAGCCCTGCAGAAGGCTCTACACTGACAGCACAAAGCCTGCTTGGGATTCTCCTTCTCCCTCTTGCTCTGCCCCTCCTCTCTCTCAAATAAAAAAACTTAAAAAAAGGATAGGATTTTAAGGAATTACTAATGTTGTTAGGTATAACAACATTGTAGTTACGTTTAAAATGTCATTTTCTTAGAGGTACACACAGAATTTGAGGGTAAAGTGACAAGAAATCAGCAATTCATTTTAAAATCTTACAGCTGGAAAAATTAAAAAAATAAAAAAATAAAATCTTAAAGCTGGAAAGAAGTGGGGAGGGACACAAGCAAAGCACGTGTGGCAAAATGTCACTAACTGCTAAGTATGGGAGATGGTTATATGGGTTCATAATATTATTGTTTTTGGATTTTTGAAAACTTACGTAGTTAAAAAAATAAAGTGTCTCATTTGTGCTGATGGCTACAAAATTTAACCACACACAGTTTTAATGGCCATATCCTAAACAGCCACAAAATTTGCTCTCATAGAAGTAAGAATCCACAGCCCCTGCTACTTAGAACAGGATGGTTTTCAGGATAACTTAGCTATATCCTTAAGGCTCCTTCATCTCTAACTCTATTAATGAGTAATTATACACCTCCAACCCTCAGGTGAATGTTCACAGAGAAACCAGGCACCCAGGAACAAGAGAGTGAAGGTACACGTCAATTGTAACAAATGTGCCACACTAACACCCAGATATTAATGACACAAGAAACTAGGGGAAGAGAGAGTATATATAAGAGTTCTCTACAGTTTCTGTTCAATTTTCCTGTAAACCTAAAACTTCTCTAAAAAATAAAGTTGATTAAATTTTTTAAGTGAAGTTATCTAGCAAAAGAGACTTGTTTTTTCATTTTTCTTTTCATTCTTTTCTGTATCTGTATTCTGGTTTTTCTTCTAGATCACTTGGTTATATTGTTTTGTTTGGTTTGGTTTGTCCCGGGTATTAGGCCAAATCCTAAAGTTCCTATCTGTGGCACTGATAAATGTGTGGTTTGGCTTTTTTTTTTTTTTTTTTTAATTTAATGTTTATTTTTGAGAGAGACAGAAACAGAGCAAGAGCAGGGGAGGGGCAGAGGGAGAGGGAGACACAGAATCCTGAATCTGAGCTGTAAGCATAGAGCCCAATGCAGGGCTTGAACTCATGGACCAGAGGATCATGACCTGAGCCAAAGTCAGACGCTTAACCGACTGAGCCACCCAGGCGCACAAAATTTGTGGTTTTAAGATTACTTTGAAGTGAAGGGACTACTAAGATGTTTCTTTATATTTTTGCTTCTTACGTGGAATTAGTTTGGTATGTTTTCAACAACAGCATTAGAGCTGTCGTCTACTCCAACCATTTCCACATTTAAGAGAACTTATTATGTGCCAGTCACTGTGCAAAGTACCCTACATATATCACAAAAAAGTACCCTACAGATATTCTCACAAAAACACTGCATGGTAAGTAACATCCTCAATACACAGGAGAAATTGAAGCTTAGGAAGCGAAGTAACTTGCCTTAAGTCATTCAGTAAACAGTACTGGCAGGATTCAGTTCTAAAGCTAGTACTCTGAAATGCTGGGTGACGCTACATCCCTTTCTTCCCTTTTTCTACTCTATCAGAATGTCACTCAGAAAAAGCACCTGCAAAGATGCTAGAGTCAATACAATCATTATAATTGACGGCATTTTTACCTTCTGTCCTTTACCCAAAATATTCTCACTTTTAGCTCTGTGATACTAGTCAAGTCACTTAACTCTTTGACTCTTAGCTGCTCCATATGCAAAACTAAGAACAGTGATAATGTAGCTCTTAAGACCTAGGACTCTGGCACCAGACTGCCCTGGATTCCGAATTCTGCCACTTACCAGCTATACACCCTTGAGCAAGTTGCTTAACCTCTCTGTGCTTCAGTTTCTCCATCTATAAATGGAATAACAGTACTTACCTCATAGAGTTATAAAAATCGTATAAAATAGTAATTGTCAAGTGTGTGGCACAAAGTGCTGTTTTTAAAAATAATTATTTTATTTATCAGAGTTACCGTGAAAGCACTATATAAATGTACCTTATCATCATTACATACAGAAACTGTGATTTTAGAAAACGAAGTGATCCTCTTAAAAAAGACAAATGGCCCAGGGGGAAATGAGGGCGACAGATCGGTTTGGCTTAATAGTGTTCTGGCAGAGTTGTCCTCCAGCTGTTTGACCTTACAAAATAAAAGCACTTAAAAACTTGACTCCAAGCTTCAGCTTCCTTACTATAGGGTTATGTCTACCCCCAAAGTTGTTCAGAGAATTATCACTAAAGCAGCGGCACAAATCAGGTCCCCTGTGCCAGTTCTCTTCCCTTAAACTCTGCACGTAACTGAGGCTCATTATAAGCAAGGCCCACAAGCGAACCGGACCAAAGTAAAAAGCTCACACAAAACCCACATTTATCTCTGGGCTGTCCGTCTATACGGTCGGGTCCCCGAGGGGAATCTATCGCGAGTCCCCAAATCTCTTTCAAATGTAGGTGAAAAATCAAAACCGAAAGATTCTCATCCTGAAAAATCACAAAGAAAGTGCAAGAATCACACCCTGACCAGGGAAATAGGAACACACAAACTGCCGGATAACTTTGGAGACGAAAGCGGCGAACGGCCCAGAAACAATCCTGGGGTGCGTTTGGGGTTTGTTCTGTTCATTCTCTAGCGGGAGTAACTTTTCTTTCAGGCCGAAGGCACAGTAAATCCCCTGACTGAAGGGGAGGCAGGACACGCCGGGGACACTCGTGCTCTGGGAAAGAACGAAGCGCACCGAGGTCAGTGGCCTAGTCAAGGCCATTTCCCAGGAGGCCGGGGGGATGCCTGAGCTGCCCGGCCGGCGGCCACTCCTTCCCGGCGGCTCCAGCCCCACCCCAGCCCTGAGGACCTGCTCGGTGGGAACCTGGGCGTTCTCACCTGTGCCGGGTCCGCGGCGTAGCCTCTTCCGGGGCAGCGGCCCCGGAGCCCCGCCGCCGCGCGCGCCGCCCCCCACCAGAGCCCCGGCACCGCACGGACCCCAGCTAGGCTGCGGAACACAGCCATCCGGCCGCCCGTCGCGCGCACGTGCAGACAGTTCTCCGCGGCCCGCGGTCGCCCCCGCCCACGTCCCCGCCGCGCAGCCAATCAGCGGCCGGAGAGCTCTCGGGCCGGTGGGCGCCCGGGGCATCTCGGGAGTTGTAGTCCTGAGTCCGTATCTGGAAGGCCGGCAGGGCGCGAGCCAGTTGGGGCTAGGGGTCTGACTGGGTTCTGAGTCGAGCAAGGCACGGGGTCGAGCAGGGGGTGGGGCGTGGCAGGGGTCGGGGCCGGGACTCGGTCAAGTGCAGACCGTTCTTGCCCCGCGGGCCGGGCCTGGGGTTCTGTTGGAGCGAAGAGGCGCAGGCAAGGTCTGGCCGCTTAGTAGAAGAACACTTGCGGTGAGCAGACCCACATGAACCGGCTATGTACCTGCGGACTTCCTGGAACATGCATTTCAAACTGAAATCCCAGCTCCCTCAACCCTCCGTGACTTCATGAGAGAAGAAGAACTGTGGAGGGACCAATCCTTATGTGCAAGGGGGAGGAGGAGGCAAAGTTTTCTTTTGATGTCCAAGTCCCCTGAACTCCAATCAAGGAATGCTTGTAGGATACCAATTATTCGCTCTTGTAGTCTTTCAGTAAATATTCACTATGGCCCTCCTTCCTGCCCGGCTCTGTGCTAATTCCTGGGGAGACTATATGCATATATAATCCTGCAAACTCACACTTTGTAGGGAGGTTGAATCAGGACTAGAATACAAGGGAGAAAAGAACTGTCCCCAAAAAGGGTCAGATAACTAAGCGAACACCTTTGCTTTTGAGCACGGCTCTTTCCACCATTTGAAATGTATAAGGCGCGCCCTTTTAGACCTTTGACCTGTCCCTGGATATAGTTCTACCAAGAATGGCTGAGTCTACAATGTATTTAGCACTATGTAAGAGGAAACAAGGTAGGCGTCAGGGATGGACAGAGACTGTGCTAACTCAGAAGTTAGTTAGCAATACCCTTTGATCCTCAACTTTGAAGGCCAGGATCTTAATTTTGTCAGTTCAGGTGCAACTGAACAGCACCTGGCAGACTGATTCACATTAACCAAAACTATAATAGCCCAATTTATAAACTCTGACAAGGGACATGGCTTTCCAAGATTAAAATGTTCCTAATCTCTTCCTGCTATTAAACTACCTAGAAACTGTTTTAGCAGGTACAAGGTTCCTTGGTGTAATGATTTTAAAATATGTCCACAGTTTATTTGACAATTCTCTTCCAAAAAGGTGTTTATTCCACTCCTATTGAGTGTGGACTGGAAATAACTCATTTTTAATAAATAAAATGAAGCATGCATAAATATAAATAAGTAAATAAAATGAAGTTGAAGTAACACTGTGATTGTCAAGGCTAGGCCCTAAAAGATATTGTGGCTTCTACTTTGTCCTTGTTTAGCTCATTCATTCTAAGGAAGTCAAATACGTATCTTGAAGACACTCAAGCCAGCTCTCTGGAGAGGCCCACAGGATAAAGACCTGAAGCCCCCTACCAATAGTCATGTGAGAAAGCCATCTTTCAGGCAGACCCTCCAACTGTCATGGACATCTTGGCCAAAACTTCATGAACAACCCAAAGACGAAACTACACAGCCAAGTCACTCTTGAATTTCTAACCCTCAAAACTAGGAAATAATAAGTGTTTGTTGTTTGAGTCAGTAAATTTGGGGGTAAGTTATTGCACAGCAATAGATAACTAAGACACTTGATGATCGCAATTGTATCATAATCACAGCTATCCCATCTCCAGAGGTGGGTCACTATGTTCTGGATCTGGATCTGCCTTGCTTTCAATCTTCCCCAGCTGTGCACCGAACCCCATAAAACTATAGCCATCTGTAGCAGGAATCAGACGTAGCCTGGTTTGTTTCAGGAAAGGTGTCAAAACACGTATATCTGGGAGATTCCAATATGGCTACTGTAATTAATACTCTATGTTTGTGTGTATGTGCATTTCAATATTGATAAATCTTCCTTAGTTTCTCTAGGAGTTCGTAAGCCAGAAAAGATTAAGAAAACTACTTGAGGGACCCCTGAGTGGCTCAGTTGGTTAGGCATCCCACTTTGGCTCAGGTCATGATCTCACGGTTCAGGGGTTTGAGCCCCGCGTCAGTTAGATTCTGTGTCTCCCTCTCTTTCTGCCCCTCCACCACTCATGCTCTGTTTCTCTCTGTCTCAAAAATAAATAAACATAAAAAAAATTTTTTTAAAAGAAAAATCCTTGAGAGCAGGATGCCTCTCTGATTCACCTTTGTCTTCCTCATAGGTCCTATCGTGGCAACCTGCACCTGATGGGTGTTCAATTAATAGAAGGCAAATGAATGAATATCCATACTCCTGCTGTCCCTATTAACATATGCCCATATATGTTTGTATGTACATGTGTGTGCATGAGCCTGCTCATATCTATGCACATACTTTGTGTTAGTTAGAACTAGGATTGGCTACAAGTAACAGAAACTTCCAAAGACTAGTGGCTTAAATAAGATATAAATTTGTTTCTTTCATATAAACAAAGTTGGGAAAGAACAACGAGGCTTGGTATTGTGACTCCGCCAACTTCTTAGCTACCCAGGCTCCTGTTTTGCTCCTTTACTATCTTCACTGCACAGCTTCCACTTCATGGTCCAAGATAACTGCTCAAGCCCAGATATTATGTTCACATTCCAGGCATCAGGGATTTTTCCTGGCAAAAAAGGATATGCCATCTCCTTCCAGGTACAATTTCCAAAAGTCTTACACAGGCATACCTCACTCTACTGCACTTCACAGATAATGCATTTTTATAAAATGTTTATTTATTTCGAGAGAGAAAGAGCACAAACAAGGAAGGGGCAGAGAGAGAGGGAGAGAGAGGATCCCAAGCTCTGTGCTGACAGCCCAGAGCCTGATGCAACACTCAATCCCATGACTGTGAGATCACTACCTGAGCTGATGTCAAGAGTCAGACGCTCAACCACCTGAGCCACCCAGGCACCCCCAGATAATGCATTTTCTACAGATTGAAGGTGTGTGGCCACCCTGCTTCGAGAAAGTCTATCAGTGCCATTTTTACAACAGCGTTTGCTTACATCATGTCTCTGTGTCACATTTTGGTAATTCTTGCAATATTTCAAAAATATTATTATTATATCGTTATGGTGATCTGTGATCAGTGATTATGACTTGCTGAAAGCTCAGATGACGGTGGGCATTTGTAGCAATAAACTATTTTTAAATTATCGTATATCAGGGGTTTTTTAGACATAATGCTACTGCACACTTAGTAGACTACCATATAGTATAAACATAACTTTAAATGCACTGGAAACCAAAAAATTTACTTGACTTGCTTTATTGTGGTATTCACTTTGTTTCAGTGGTCTGGAACTGAACTTGCCATGTCTCCCAGGTGTGCCTGTACATCACATCTGCATATATCTCACTTGCCAAAGCTTTATCACATGGCCACACCTAGTGTCAAAGAAAGTTGAAAAATGTAGCTTTGTACCTGGTTAAAAATAGAGGTGTCCTTTCCCACATAAAAAGGGAATAAAGGGGGTTGCCTGGGTAGCTCAGTCAGTAAAGTATCTGACTTTGGCTCAGGTCTTGATCTCATGGTTCGTGGGTTTAAGCCCTGAATCAGGCTCTGTGCTGACAACTCAGAGCCTGGAGCCAGCTTCACAGTCTGTGTCCCCCTTTCTCTCTATTGCCCTCACCTGCTTGAGCAAACACTCTCTCGCTCTCTCTCTCTCTCTCAAAAAATAAACAGTTAAAAAAACGTTTTTAAAAAGGGGGGATAAAGGAAATTGGCATTTTATGCCTCATACTAGGAAGCAGACAAAAGAAAAAAAACAAAACAGAATTCATGGGTGCCTAGCTGAGGAAGGGCTGGAATGCTGTGGCTGAAAGAAAGCGAGTGGAGGATGGGGAGCAGAGAATAGGGGAAACATACACACACACACACAGCTTTCCCCAGGTCCCACCCAGTTTTGTTGAGGGAGAATTTTGTGTTCATCTCTGCTGGGGAATGATACCTATTCCCTTCTCCTCATGTTTCCCTGAAGAAACAACTTCTGTTAACAACACTACTAGCCTCTCTTCACCTGGGCCAGAGGGCACATGACTTACCTGATGGGTGGGCTTGTAAGAAAGAACTAGGTGCATGTGACTTTCTCCTTTCTCCCTTTCGGGAGCCAGCTCATCAATGGGACCTGGTGTTCCAGCCTGCCCCTGTAGTGAGGAGGGCTGGGTTTTACATTTGTGCCAGTGACCTCGAGATTCATGTGATTCAAGGATACAGGGGTAGCAAGACCATTTAGTCTCCCAAATAAGCCATGTTCTCCAACAGGCTTTTAACAGTAATAAATCTGATATTTACTCCATCTCTCCCTTGTCTGTTTTTCAATGGAGTCATATTTAAGCAGGAAAGTGAGGAGCATTTATGGACTTACGCTTAGAGCCTCTATCCCCACTGGATCCAGACTAGAACCCCTGGCAATTAGTAGACTAACTGGCCACCCATGAGGTAGGGAGGCTCCAGGGGCCCTGGCCAGCTCCAGCCCCTCCAGACCTCTGGAGGCAAGAAATAATATCTTTTGCACCACGATTAAAGCTCTGACTTGAGGGGCACCTGGGTGGCTCAGTCAGTTGAGTGTCTGACGTCGGCTCAGGTCATGATCTCACAGTTCATGGGTTTGGCCCCAAAACCAGGGGTTTGGGCCCCTGGATCCTGCTTCAGATTCTGTGTCTCCCTCTCTCTCTCTGACCCTCCCCTGTTCACGCTGTGTTTCTTTCTCTCAGAAATAAATAAAACATTTTAAAAATAAAAAATAAAATAAAGCTCTGACTTGAGACTTGGACAAAAGAGACAGAGCAAGTTGAAACAATTCACTGCATAATAATAGCTGATGCTCTCTCCTCTTCTGAAAGCAAATTTTTTAGGTGGGAAGGAAGGTCAATGCTAAAGACACTAAATGACAATGACAGGTGCAAAGCAAAGGCCCAAAGAGAGGCTAGAAGGCTTGGAACTTCAGCA